GACCGACCAACGCGACGCGACCTGGCCGCGTTTGGTCTGAACACCCCTTAACAGCTCTCACCTTTGCTTTATCAGAAGCAGTTTCAATTATTGTGTAACAAAGTTACATCAGCTTTGTCTTCACCTATCAGCCTCAGACAAATACATGGTTAGTGTCTCTCCTTTCACTGCCAAGTCATTGAATCTGATCATCTTCATCAGTCTAAGACATTACCTGGCTGGTCCTCATTGTCTAAACCGGTGATAATGATCCATATTTCTTAGACAAGGCAAGATTCAATTCAAAGTTATGCAACAGGACAAAAGCAACCAAACATTTTGACACTTTGACCAACCATCCACTTTCTATCCAATTGTCCTATCCTTTCTTTGATAAAGGTGATTTTATGGATCTCCAAAACTGCATCTCACATTTTCCCAAATGTGACTTTCCCCTTAAAGTGTAGATGAAAAACAACCTGCCTCCCCTCATCTTTGTTCTTGTCTCTGGCCCAAAATCTCTTTTGCACACATCGATGGAAAGATCCTGTGTTTTTCCCTTTAATTTTGCATGACGACAGAATTAGGGCCTTTCTGTTCTGCGCAGACAAAGTCACTGTAATTACAGTTTCTGTCACACTGGATAAGTCATTTCAACGATATAGAAAACACAGAGGAGCGTCTGAGTCTGTGTAAGTGATACCAATGAGGGGAAGATTGATACATGGCCTACACTTGATTGGGGATTTGTTTTCCTCTTTTTCTTTGTGAAGCTTTCTGAACTTTTAGTAAACATCAGACAGTTTTATCAATGTCAGCCACAAGGGCTTGTGTATTGAGCATTCGCCTGACGAAACCAAACAGCGTTTTCTTATTCTCAGCCTTTCAGTCCCACTCTTCAGAACTCGTCTCAGCCCCTCTGCTCAAGGTTGTCCTGAGTCCTGCCTGACAGAAATACAACAGTCAGTAACCATTTCAAATGATATCTGGTTCCTGCCAACACTTTTCTTCTCTCTCCTGTGTTGTCTTTTATTCCCCTCTCTCTCTTTTGTTCTTTGAGACCGTAAATTGTTTTTCGCTGGGGCCACGCTTTCTCCTTGAGCTTGTCATTGGTTTTCCCATTAAAGACAACTTATGATAAAGTTTGTTGTGTGGAGAGGGGTCGGCCAGCGCCTGCCTGCTACTCCGTCTGTCTCTGATTGTGTGTGTGTGTGTTTGTTTGTTTGTGAGTATGTGTGTTTGTGAGAGTGTGTCCTAGCAGGATCTTGTAAACTGAAACAGTACAGCACACTCTGTCTACATCACATTTTCAGAAGTTTTGGGAGTTTTGTTGATAGTGTGAAATTGTCCTCCTTCCATGTCTTAATGACTTTTGTAAGCTGCCAGAATACTGAAGAGAATCCAGGTTTGACTTTGAGATAAGCGACGTCTTGGCACAAGTATTAGTTTCACCACCAGAGTGATGACTAGATAATGAAAACAGGCGTGTGTTTTGCAATGGAAACAGGGTAGGCTGGTTTGATTTGGTTTAGCAGTGTACAGGTTGGTACAGTAAACCCTAATCTGGCTGTTATTTACACAGCATATTGTACCATATACCCTGGCACTTCTTACAGGAAGTGTGTGGGCTGCATGATGGCTTCAAAATGGCTCGGTTTTTGGCGTGCATATTTGCTGATTACACAAACAGACCGCCAACACAAACAGCTAATGTCACCCAATTTTTCCACAGTCCAAAATTACATAGAGGAACAGTACACTGAAGCTTTGAAATAATGATATGACTGGCCATGGGTATGTCACAAACATACTTTTCAGTGCAAAAGCTTTTATGTGGAGATTTGCCCCCTGTTTTCACACAGTGCTTTTATTTTGAAGTTTTATAAAAGACAGTGAAAAATTATGACGCTAAGTGTTACTCAGATTAATATATATTTTATTTTTGTCAACTGACACAACCTGCTTTTATAAAGTTCTCGTATTATTTGCCGTTTTTGACATTTCATCCAAGAGTGTGGTGAAATTATAAACATATATATATATATATTTTTATCCTGGAGAGCAAAAGGTTGTGTTTTCTTGGTGTGTATTGAGTTTTTCCTGGTTCTTGACCTGTCTCTGTGCTCTTACCTGATCAATTTTTACTGAGGGACTTTTACTTTAAAAACTTGAGAGATAGTAAGCTAAGAAAGTAACCTAAAGGTAAGATTTCACATAGCTGTCAACTTTCATTATTTCTCTGGCACAAGGTCATTTAAAGACACAAAGACGTTCAAGTATGAGCAGTATTTAGCGGTCACAGTCATAGTCCACATCTTTCCAAATAGTACAAGTCATTATTTATTATTAGTGTCACTGTTCAGGCTCACCTTGATCAACTATACTGTTATAAATCCTTCAATTCCTTTGGATCTGCATTGGCGTTCAAGTTGCCAGTTTTAATTCATTGATAAGTGCTGATGGGTGCAGAGATGAAATACGACGTTTCTTTCACTTTTAAACAACTGCAGGCTTCAGTGAAGATCCAAAACTGACTAAACGAGAAGATTTTTTAAAAACTTAAAGATGCTGAAAATGTAACATGTACCATATTCACCCAAACATAGGTCAACCCTTTTATAGGACAAATTATCTTTGCATCTCCAGGACAGATTGACAGAAGACCATCCTTCTTCAAGAGAAAGAAGAGTACACACTCTTCCGCCGAATGTACAATGCTACTGCGCAAGTGATGGTTCCAGGAGGTGAAGAAAAGAAGGTTGAACCAAGTTGCCCATAGTATAGTATACAGTCTATAGGTGGCACACTGTTATCAATAGGAAGCAGAGAGCATCTACACTTTAGACCAACAAACCCCAGGTCCCAAGTATGAAGTCAGTTGTGCAGAACTTTCTAGGTATTTAGAGGGTGGCTTGGTGAGAGTTCTTGCTGCACAGTCCTTTGCCTTATACCAACAAAATATAGTCTTATTACTTTTTAAAAGTGGACAGAGAGCTGAGATTAGAGTATTTTCTCCCTTGTCTCCTTACATCATGGTACTAGCTGATATAGGGATGCCAGAAATGAAGGGCACCATCACTGCTATCTCCTCACACAGAGCTTGACCTCAGCTCTGGGTACCAAAGCCACTGTGATCGCTCTGCCTATAACATCTGAATGTCAAGGTGAATATTTTGTAATGGTTCCTTGGTCCTCTGTTATTAAGCAGTTGAAGTGGGCACCTAACTATATCTTTAATTTTCTTTTCCTTTAATTTCTGACAGAAAAACCTTGAGACTTAAGGAGGAAATCTGAAAGAGGTAACCCTGAGCACATGGATAAGTGGCCATTGTTGGCGAGTGACAATGATAACAGACCTGTTAAAGCTCTTCAAGTGAAACCATCTTGTCATTTTATCAGATGTGTGTTGATGGGAGACCTTGGTGGGTAAAAAGAAAAACACTCCACTGCAGTTTAAAGCACATTTCCAATGGTGTTATTTTTGAGCCAGATTCATTTTAAGCTGATTGCTACATCTTCTTAATAATGCAGATTTTGGCATCAGCTCTGTTCACTCTGTTTACCTGGAATGGGCTTTAACTGTGCACCAGGGTCAGCTCTGTTATTTGTTAATAATATAGAATCTGCAGGCTAAGTAAGCAGTTTAAAATTTTCATGTTTTGCCAATTTTTTCTCATTGAACAGGTTCATCTTTTTGTTTTCCCCACACACACACACACACACACCCGCACATACACACAGGTTAGTTCGTGAGGTGGAAGTCTTCTCTTATCCTGCCAGTTCCCGGGTTATTGATAAACACTTATTGCGCAGTCGGCCATTGTGAATTGTGGGCAAGTCCTGGTGGAACCTTTTGGTGGCAACATCATTTTTCTTGATGACAGCTCACATAGACGCTTTCCTGCTCCCTGCTTTTCCTTTTCTTCCTTTTTAAAAACTCTCAACCTTTAAGGAAAAACGGCGAAATATAAAAAGTTACTGCACACATAACAAACAATGCGAAGTAAATGTATGCACGATTTTATTCGTATGAGGGCCATTTTGGTGTTTTTCTCCCTCTCAATTGTCTTGCCTTTTCATTAATCAGTATTAGGGAAATCTATGATTAGTTCTGAATGAAGGGAGATAAATTGTTGTGTCTAATTTCTGCATCAGATACCACTGAGACCAGCTTTCTCTCACTGTGAACCACAAGCACTGATGGAATCTCAATCTGCCAGCGAGACAAGGGTCATATTTGAGCACAGACTTAATTTTCTGACTCAGTGCTTCAGGTTTCACTGGTGTAGATGGGGCTTAGGGTAGTGGGGTACAGACAAGGATGCTTGGATGAATTCGGGGAATGGTAGGACACAGAATGTATATATAGGATAAATACAGTTCATCCAGGTGCTGCAGTATGGATGCTTAATGGTATTGTGTGTGCCTGTTTGAGACGCCAACAAGGGCCTCAAATTTTGGAGATGTATCAGTGAGAAAAGGCTGGAAACAAAGACCCCTCAGCAATCAGTGTAAAAATACACACATAGATACACGTCTGGATATAGATGTGTTTTTCCCTTTTGGAGTTCAGCCAAAGCTGCATGTCCCTACTCTAGCTTCTAGTACGATTGGAAATAACCACACCACTGTGCTGCTGAATGGCAGACCCACTTTTAAAGTCTCCCAGACCAGTCAAAGGTAATATGTGTGTTAGATAGATTTTGTTTAATGTTTGTTGTTTGTATTATCATACAAAATCACGAGACCATCATGAGATTTCAATATCGTTACATCCTTAGCAGCTATGAAAACCCATTGATCAGTAATAGGACTTCAAATTTTGGATCACTTCATCCCTGGTAAAAAAAAAAAAAAATTAACTCCATTGTTGTTAGTCACGAGCAGTCAGCAGTCAGACTGGTCCCCTCCTTGAACACTCCACGAGTCACATTAGCGAGGACCACTATTTCAGCGACGACCCTGAGCAGGTCACCGGGGACACATTTAAAAGTGACACACAGCTCATTAGATCACAGAGGTCAGACACTCTGCTCGCGACTGTCCACTTTGTCCCTGTAATGGACACTGGGACGTGTGCAGGGTAGGCGGGTGGGGGGGGGGGAGTACGGGGACAGAGATGAGTGCTGCCTGCAAAGTCTCGCCGATTTGTTGAGTCCTGTTCCGATGGGAGTGCTGGGGCTGTCCGAGGCGTGATTGGAGGATGACCTTGAAGGGGGTTGCTGGCATTTTGGGCAGAAAAGTGAGATTAATACAGAGCTGTTAATGTTTGTGCCTCCCATAGATCTCTTTCTCTGTCTCCTTTTCATTTCGCAGCGTTTGGCTCCCTCTCTCTTTTTTATCCCTCTGTTTCTCTGATTGATGGCTGAGTGTGGAAGTCCAGTCTGTTCAAAAGCACTTTACCTCTCCTCCTGAAAACTCCAGGCCAGCACAGCTAAAAACACACAACAAACATATTTGCGTGGTGGTAGTTTTTGAGTTGAGCGCTCTGGAGTTGCACTAACTCACCTAATGAACCTCACCGAGAAGCTTTGGTTGGCTGAGGATTGCGGGGTGATTTATGATTGGCCAGCCAGGGATCCAGCAGTGATCCATCATGGTTGGAGATGGAGATCATTGAGATGAATGGATCTCCTCCGGATTCACTCATTATCTCAGCACCAGGATTTATGCCTGACCCTTCGTCTTCAATTACACCAGCACTTCCACACCATCAACGCTTGCATAGGCCGTGATGAATAATCATCAGTGGAGGGATTTCTAATTGCTCCTCTCAGAGATTATTGAAGATTGTTGATGAGGGGAAGTTTTCATGGGGACATGTTGACATCAAGTTGTTCTTTGGAGCTTATGTTTTTATTATTCTCCTTATAAATATGCATGCACTGGTGGATTTAGATTTATAGGCTGTTGTCAAACTTGAGTTTGATGATGCATCAAAATATATTTAGGAAAAAGAGAGGGCCGGTCTTTGGTTTTGATTGGTTCAGTCACAGCAAAAGACAAGTCTTCATATATGAAAATCAGTGCACATAAGTAGACATTAAAAAACTACAACCCATACTGGTTCAAAACACTTAATTTATAATTCAGTATTAGTTTAACTCCTGCAAAATCACTGTGAAATAAATTCTGAACATCTCTGTGAACACTCTTGACTTCAGCTTGTGGAAAAATGTAACCCAAGCCTAATTGTTCCTTATATTCAATCGGAACATTGCTGCTTAAGAGATGCCTGACAAACATATTGAAGCTGCTCATGAGCCTCCACTTTATCACTCCACATTAAATGGCAGCATTAAATATCATTGATTGTAGAAATAAGAAAAGAGCGCATGGTTTATTCATGACCTTTTTATCCAGGGAGATTATAACTGGAGGGTTTGTTTGCACTATTTTCTGCTGGTAATGTGTATTTCATTAAATACAACATAAAAAAAAAAATCATTACAATCACAATGTGCACATGTGGATCCATGTGCACGTGGACCAGGAACACTGATTCTATTGAAATGCAGAAGGAACATTTCAGCTTCTATTATGGCTGTGATTCTGTATAACTGTGCGTCTCATGATTATGAAGTGCAAATATACAGCCAAAACTGCTTAAAGCTCCATTAAGAGATGGATACTTGTACTTGTTAGCTTTGTAGGCATGGATACTCACAGCTGACAGCTTCAGCCTGGCACCCACCCTAAGATTTTAAAAATTTTACCTGATTTTGAAGATTTCAGAGAGCAAACACATGATAATAGTGACAACAAATGATGAAAGATCTATAGTTTTCTGCTGATTGCGTCTGCAGAGTCCCGATTCTCATATATGGAAACCTCGTGAAGACTAAAGGAGCTACCTGTTGCTAGCTACTAAACTTCCAGGTATTTCCACTGAAGTGGGACTTCCTTTTTAACACCCCCTTTGTCATTTTGACTGTGTCTTGTTTTACCAAATGCTTTCTGTTCACCATTGTTGCCATGGTTGCATTTGTTAAGCTTCCTTCTTCAGTCAGCTCACTTCCTGATTGGCTGTCGAGTTGTTCCACATGACAATGGACAGGATGCATGATATGCTGTTACCTTCACACATAAGAATTTCTGATAGTAAGTGCCATAGACTGTATATACTATGGACAACTTGGTTCCACCTTCTGCCAGTATACAGATTTGAAGCCGAAAAGCTCTCTGTGTTTCCGCATTGCACAGTAGCATTGTGCGCATTCAGCAGGAGAGTCACCAAGAGTTGCTGTGATGGCGCCCTGTTCAACCAGCGTATCCCCCTGGTGAGCTACGCAATCTTCGTACGCCCATAGGCTGTATCAGGTGTCAATCATAGAAAACATAAACCCCCTAAGAACTTTTAAAAACAAAGCTGCACAGAAAAAAGAGGACTTGAGCACAAACCAGTCTTACACTAACTTCATGTCAACATCACAAGCAGGGGGGAGAAAAAATTATATCCTGTGTAATTAATTTCTAAAGTTTGTCCACAGCTCAATAGGGATTGCTGGAGGAGGTGAGATGTATGACCTATACTGAAGCCCGTCACCAAAGTGCTGTTCTCGGGGTGGCATCACCCAGTGAGGAGGCAGACACTATCCATTCCATATACAGTCTATGGTAAGTACTGAACTTGTTAAGTGGTTCAAATGAAGATTTGATTATTGGGTAAGTGACTTGGTCATAGTTTCAGTGGCTTTTAATGAGAAACACTGTGATAGAAATAGGAAGAAGCTTATAGAGGCATAGAGACTTGCTCGACAACAAGTTGAATACCAGAGTGACAAATTGGTGTATTTTCAGCACATACTACAAGGTAGACCAGACAATCAGTTGTATTTAGTGATTAAATATGATCACAGTGATTGAAATAATGTATGCTATATTTACAGTTTCATGTTGAAACCACCAAACAGTTGTGGCCAAATGGTGATGATGACAGTTTGAAGCAGGAATGCTGATCATGACTGCCCTGAATGATGTTTGATAAAGCGAAAGTGAGGCACACAGTGATCATGAGTGGGACTTTTGCTAAGATGTTGGTGATGACTTTTATGAAGGTCTCAGAGACCTGTGGCTTTGTGTAGAGCTTTGGTGCACAGCAGGCAGTTGAACTACAGTGTTGTGTGTATATGAGCGCGCGTGTGTGTGTGTTATTGTGAGTGTTGTCATCAGCGATTTGTTCTTTCTCTGACAGTCTGTATGATTAATAGCACCTTTCACTCCTTGTCCTGACACACCGCTTCCCCTCTGTTTTTTTTTCTTCTTCCTCAGCTGGCCTGCTGTCTTGAGGATTACAGAAGTGACAGCTGTGGCAGAGGATAAACACACACACACACACACACACACACACACACACACACACACACACACACACAAAACAGATGCACACGTAGACAAGCACAGCTAATACCGACACCAATTAAGTAAATATATTAAAAGCATGCAAACAACAAGCACAGAGGTTTCGGGTGCACTTAGCACACACACGCACGTACGCATGCACACACACACTTACAGTTAAACAAACAGGGTCATGGGCAATCACCTTTAGATTCAGCAGATACTGGTTCAACCCAGGACTTGTCGAGGTCTTGTGCTGAACAGATGCTGTCCCCTTGGGTAGAACATGTAAAAATCAATATGAGGACTGCCAGAGGTGTGTTGAGGTAAAACCCTTCTCCATCACATAGCAGCAGGTTCAAATACACGAGAGAATGATAAGATAATGCATCTTCTAATACACGAATACAATGGGACACTATTGGATTTCCATATTTAACCCCTGCAAAGTTTCATGATAAATCCCTGGACTTTTTTTCTGGGTTCCTTGAATAACTTGTTTTGAAAACTTCAGTTACAGCAAAACCTCCCAATATTTTTATGACTACTACACAGCTGTGTAAAAAGTAACACCCACAAGCTGGGTCTAACTTTGTAACAGTGGTAAGCAGACAAATAGAGGTAAAATCTGGATTTTCATGAATGCCAGTAAAAGATAAATAAGAAGTTTTTATGTAAATCACTTTACACATGCCTCAGACTGACATAGCAAAATGCTGAAATGAGTGAAATGGTCTCCATCATGTTTTGCACAATCAGCCAGTAAACTGAAGTTTTCTCCATTTTCCTTTTAAAATGTAAAAACTAGAATTTAAAACCTGTTTCCCACCAATATTTAATGAATTTAAATAATTTTTTCACTGTGTTTATTCCCCTTTCGGCTTATTCTTTCGACCTGTTTATGAGTCTAAATGCAATCTAAAAGATTTAGAGGAGGTGCACATTTAACATCATCATGACTATTGTGATTCTTTGTAGGCTTGGAGCATGCATGAGCTTATTGCCTGCAGCTCGTTCAAAATGATGCTACACCTGTGCTACTCTCCCTTCACAGGCTTCCAGGATTGATCTCAAAACTTTGTTCTTTTCGTTTTGAAGCTCAAAATGGATTGGCCGAACTTCTACATATTCACACTGCAGCTAAAGCCCTGAGGTCAGCCAATCAGCTGCTCCAGGATGTGTCTGGACCTTGAGGTGACAGAGCCTTTGCTGTAGCTGTCCCAACTTGTGGAACAACCAACCACCTCAAATAAAATCTGCCCAGACTCTTGAATATTGAAATCCCTGTTGTACACTCATCTCTTCTCTTTGGCCCACCTTTTCAAAACAAGAACATTTTTATAGTAACAGATTGATTTATTGTAATCTGTGGTTTTATTTATAGGGGTATACACAGCAGGATTTATGGTTATTGTGGTACCGTCAGGGTTGACTCTTTTTCAATACTACAAAGGTGGTTCACTTCATGTCAGGGTAATGTATGTTGAACTGCCAATGTGCCCCATCACAGGTTAGGTTCAGGGCACAAGATCAATCAAAGGGTGAAGAGAGTCATTATGTTTACTTGATTTATTGTAGCAGTCCAACTGAAACTGGGCTTTTAAAAACATGTAGACTTACTAGTCTGACTGAGATCGCACTAAATCTAACTGTCCATAGTCACACTATCAGAGATCAGTTTTCTCTGTCATGGATTTGGCTCAATCAGAATGAACCTAGCCTGAATGTTGTTCACATGCTGGGCTCTAAAGAAATATTCTGGCGTAAAATTAATTTAGAGTCAAACACACCGTAACACAGAGTTAGACACCCCCTCGAGAGATGAATGTTGCCGACCGCTTGCTTCTTTAGTTGTATCAACTTTAGTAATGACCGCAGGAGAGCAATACATAGCAGTCTGAGGAGTTATACACAAATCTCAACCAAAAAGCCACTCTATAGCCATACATAATTCGCAGAACAGCACCTAACTTCATCAACAGTACATAAAGGGTCCTAGTCACAGCACTAGCCATCAAACATCTTTTTAACTTTGCCTAATTTCTTTAGCAGAGAGACCAAACACAACTCATCCACTCTCTTCCAGCAGCCGCTGGACTGTTCCATTACGGACTACAGCGGGGTGATGCGGCTCAAGGAAGAACATTTATGATAATTTCTTCATGGAAATGCAATCAGACCGAGATGCTAAGGCAGCAGAACTACCCCGTCTGCAGTGATAAATGATCAATATGATGATTATTACTTCAAGGAAATGATCAAGTATTGATCATCAATGTTCTTCCTTGCGCTGCGTCACCCCACTGAAAT